ATAAAATACAATTAATAATTATTTTACAAAATTATATTACTTATCATAATCAATTTCACATGTTGTAATTTATTAATTATAATCATAAAATGAGCAATCTTTCACACATAATTAAATTATACACTTACTATATTAATTTCACTTTTTATTATTTGTTATAATGTTCTAAATATTTTAGTTTTCAATAACAATGCAATAAATAATTAAATTTTGTATAAATTATATAAGAGTGTCATAATAAAAAAAATCTATGATGTCATAAAGACATAATAAATTTATAAATTTATTATTTATTATATTGTACTAAGAATTGGGATCGTCAGCAAAAACAATTTAGTGCATGTAATACAAAATATTTCAAAATTTTATCATTGATTTATGTATCATAATAAAATATGTAAGCTAACACACAAAAAACATATACACAATTTGTTTATGTGTACAAAATTTCACACTATTTGTGTGATTTCAATAAATTGTAATTTTTATAACACGTATTAATTAAATTCATATAATAAAATGATCAAATAATAACATTTGAAATATTGTTTTGGTTAAATAAAATGATTCACAGCAACTTAACTATGGTAAATAAAATGCATTTATGCTATTTGTGTAATTTACACTATTACTTCATTGCAGAAATTGTATAAAATTTAAATAATAATACACATCATAATTTTTAAAGTATCATGTTTAATATTTTTTATATTTCAACATTTTAAATTTTTAAATATTATTATTTAAGTTTTTTTAATTAAAATTTTTTATATAAATTATATTTAAAAAACAAATAATTTTTAGCTTTGGCCGTACTGGCCGTATTGGACTGATCGGGGATCGCGAATATGCGGAACCGGTCGATAGTTATACCCCAAACCTTAGGGTCATATAACTACACATTTAGCCGATGAACATTATTGATTTATTGTATGAATGTATTGTGGGAATGAGTGAAGACTTACGGGTTTGAAGTCTAGCACCACATTAAGGGATACAATGTATGGATCGGGCGATATATATAGTTATACAAGTGATGTCTTATGACTATTTCTGTACTGTATATGCAATCACTTGTATAACTATATATAGGAATTGAATGACAGAGAATTGGGTAACAATCTTAGGAATGCATGGAATAGGAGCCGATGTAGGCATTTGTATGTATGGACGGGTAGTAACAGGTAATGACAGGATATAACAGCTCAGTTATCTGTCGTTTATGTTAAAACATGGGTTACCATAAAAGGAGGTATTATTTGAACCGTTATAAATTAATGTTAGTATTCATTATGATATTTAAAAACTAATATAATTATAACATAATATTTATATTAAACAAATATTATGTCATGAATAATGGATAAAATAATATAAATGATCTAATCTTTATAAAATTAAAAATCCTGCCAAATTATGCATATTTTTTATTAATTGTAAATTAAAGGTTATATATAAAAATTTAAACTCAATTTAAACTTTATTTAAAAATTTGAAATACATTGAATTAGGTAACAAATTATGTTTAAGATATACATTTATTTGGATATTAATCATTTTCAAATTAAGGTTTAACAATGAAAACACCATGGCATGAATCTTTGCCAGTTATGTCCGATAGCTGGCATGTGTTGCAAATGCCTTTAAACTCGGGTTCTTTACCAATGGCTGCGCAATTGTAATACCCGTTTGGTATACAATTGTCTCCGGTTAAAGCAAATAAACCATAATCATAGGGTTTGTTGGCCCGGGAACCACAGTGACTGCCCAATATATCGCCGCACTTACATGGTTTTGGCTCATTGCAATCTAGTTCAATTATATTATGGAAAATAACTCGTTTAAATACAAAGTCAGTATATACTTACCGCAGGTACAATCGTCCGAATGAGCAAGGTTAATGCAGACAACGCATAAAACAATTGCCAGCATAATTGCGTTTCCTTTGTTTCCATACATTGTAAGTTACAAATTGAATAGGCTTCTAATTGAATTTAGTCAAACCGATTTATTTAAACAGGTTTGAATACAAATATATTATGCATTAAGTAGTCAACTTATATAGTTTATTAAGTAGCTAAGTTTGTATAAATTTTATGACCATTATCTTTAAAAATTAACTACATGTAACTAAGATACAGTCCGGCCCCGAATTTGGCATGTCATTGGTGCTGTCAAAAAGATGTGCCAAAATTGGGTTCTGCTAAAATCGGGTTCATTAGCAGTGATAATATGACTCGCTGGTGCTAACAAAATCTTATGCTAAAATTGTATGTGCCAAAATCGGGGCCGGTCTGTAATAAAATTATTATTCAAAGTGAAATGTATGTTAATATATTATATAATACGTTAATTTTAATTATGAGTAAATAGTGGGTACACTGTACTTTTATACATTTTAAGTATAATAAAATTATGATGCTATAAATTATTATTTTTGCAACTAACACTCAAACAAGGTCCACACTGCGATCTACACGTTAAACATAAACCTTCTATACATCAAAGATTATTCTATTATGACATTCTTATATAATTTTTACAAAGTATAATTATCTATTGCAATGTCTTTGATGACTAAAATCTTTAGTATAATATAATAAATAATAAAAAGTGAAATTAATATAATAAATGCATAAATTAATTATGTGTGAAAGACATTGCTCATTTTATGATTATAATTAATAAATTATAACATGTGAAATTGATTATGATAAGTAATTTGATTTTGAAAAATAAATATTAATTGTCTTTTATGGTCTTCAATGCGACATGATAGTACATTAACATTTTTAATTTATTATGTTGAAATAGAAAACAAGTCATAAAAGTAATCACTGGTCAGATAAATTGTTGAAATTCATCATAATAAATGCTGTTTATTAATTATTTTATTATAACAGTAATTAAAATTAATTATGTTTAAAATTGTGTATATAAACCGATACTTTCACATAAAATAATTAAACAATATCTTCTCAAACATTTAATTAAAATTTAATCAAAACTAAATTATTAAATAAAATGAACGCAAAAATCACCATTGTCGTTTTGATGGCATTATGTGGCTTAATAACAGCAGCTGCTGTTGAAAACAAAGGTAATTTATAAACATTATTATATTGATCTTGTATTAATACTATTACAATTATTTTGATATATAGCAGCCTGCACATGTGGCAAGATCTTGGGCAGTCATTGTGGCGGTCGGATGAACATACCCTATGAATATGGGTTATACGCCTTAACCGGAGACTGTATACCCACCGGCTATTACAACTGCCCCGCCATTGATAGGGCCCCAGAATTTAAGGGCATTTGCAACACATGTCAACAATCAGACATTACTGGCAAAGATTCATGCCATGGTGTGTTTAGTGTTTTACCTTAATGTTACAATTATAAATATCAAAATGAATATTAATTAACACATTAATTTAGTCATGGTTTGTTGTTTTATTGAAGCTAACAAACTTTAATAATTTTCTATTCAAGATACAAATGTTAAAATAATAAAGTTATATTAATTATATTTCAGTAAATATTTTTTAAATAAAATAAAAACATTTGAAAATTCTTATAAATAAAAATTACATTAATTTAACAACAATTTTACTTTAACATTAATTTAGATTAACAAAATAATTTTAATTCTTTTACAAAAATTAACTATTTCCTTTTATACGGTTTAATATTTATATGTTTAATGAGAATTTCATTATAATCATGATTGCAAATACTTGATCTATCAAGATAAAAAATGTTAGAGTATTGAAATTATGTTATGTATATTTTAGTAAAATGTTATTTTAATAAAATCAATAATTATAAATATTAATTCTAAAAATTAATTATATATAATTTGTTATTTCTTTCAATATTTTTTAAATTAAACTTAAAATAAAACATAATGTAATTTAGCTAATTTATAATAAGAATTGGCCCCAGCAAATTAATCTACAATAAATAACACAAAAAGATTAATTTTTTATATTATTTATAGTCATGATGTTTGACACTTTGCAAAATGATTTAATTATAATAATTTATTTTTATATTGCTACTATACGTTTGCTGATATATAAAGTTTAAAATCATATAAACGCCACCATAAACATTGAATGTTAAATGTCAAATTATGAGAAAATATTAAAAGCATGAAATATATTTATTAATTAAATACATGTATTTTTAAAATATATTCTTTATCTTAAATACAACTATTAGTCTATTAAGTATATCAATAAATTAATTATTATTAATAAATTAACAATGAGAAAATGTGTAAGTATTTAATCACAATTCAGCTATGAATAATGTAATTTATATGATTGTTCGGCTGCCGCTTCACGGCCTTTCACCCTATGGTATTTAACATGAGATTTCAGCTATTAAATATACAGTATATTGTTACTTTATAAGATGATATAAAAATTATTAAAAATATATGATTAAGAAATTAATAAATTTATTTATAAATCAATGTGTGAAACTGTTAACTTTAGCTTTATCTTATCTACAATAATATTAAAGTATTATCAAACAATGCTAATAAATTTCAAACTTGAGTATTAAATATATAACAAACTTTAATATAACTTATTTAATGTAATGCTTTAAATGTGTGAAAAACTATTTTTAAAAACAATTAAAATACTGTTATATTTTAAGTATAATATATCTAAATTCAAAAAAATTTATAAATAATGAAGTTACATATATTAGTCCAACTATTTGTAGCTGGCACAATACTATCTACTAATTCAATTTGGGCTAATACAAATATAACACACCTAAATCAAACAAGTAAGTTAAGTAGTATAAATACAATAATTGTTACAAAATGATAAAATACATTTGGTTTTAATTGTATGGAAACAAATTTAAATTCAAAGAACTGTTAGATGAGTAAATTGAAAACAGCGCATAGTTTTAAATGGCTGTTTATATACTATATCGCAAATATACATGTATACAATAAGCGTATTTATTTCTAACTATCGATAATCTGTTAAGGTATATCACAAAAATCAAAGTGCATGTGTGTCGGTTATGGCGAGATAAAAGTTTGCGGCAGTCGGGTAGACAAGTGGTACGAGGGCTATGGAGTGATCATAACTGGCGCTTGTCACCCCGATGGAGTGTATTATTGTTGTAACTATGGCGATGGCGAGGGCGATGAGGCTCAGTTAATTAAGAGATGTCGCTCCGGGTGCCAACATAAAGAAATGAACAATGACAATTGCTATGGTAGAGTAATTTATTATCTATCGTATTCAATATATTTAATACTAACATATACTAAATTAATTAACAATTCGGTGCATTACATTAACATACTGGGTTACAACTATTATGATATAAGTTAATTATTAATATATTGGATTTCTAAATTTATATTTATTCTTACGATTTTATATAATTAAACAAATAAATGTATGTATTGATACAATTAAGTTATATAATTTCAACATTTATAGATGATGACTGTAGATGTTTAGTATCAGATGGTAATTATTGCGGTACACGTGCCCGCGCCGGCCAAGTACTAAAAGGTCATGATTGCGCCGAATTGGGCTATTACCATTGCAATGAGTATAGTAATATTCCAGGTATAACTAGACCATGCAAATTTTGCATTGAAGATCGCAAACCCTACGGATTTGACTACTGTGTAACTAATCGTATGTGCATATCAATTCTTTTATAATTATTAATATTTTATTTTATTACAAATTTTGATGTAAATATAACATGTAAATACAAATAAGTAATACAAATTGTTCATTATTTAGTCATTTACAATCAGCAAAAAAATAATATTGAAAATATTATATAATTATGATAAATAGATAGTTATTGTTCATGCGGACCTGTCCCTGGCAAACATTGTAGCGCATTTGTGAACACTGACCCTGGTCATGGTATGCAGTTGGCTGGCCGTTGCGACACCAATAGTCAATACATGTGCAAAGTCTTTGGTGATATAGTCGATCCTCCCGAACCAATAAAACAGTGCACTAAATGCAACTTGGGCAGTAAACCTGGTTATGATATATGCCACACTAAAACTTTACCAGGTATAATATATTCTCAATAACTATTATGTAAAATTTTTAAGTAATTTTATAAACAAGTAAAACTTTTCAAATTTAAACCTAGATCCCAATTTGTGTAAATGTGGCATGATTATTGGCAGCCATTGCGGTGTTAGGGCTAACATTCCGGGACAATATGGCTTCTATGCTTTAACCGGCGAGTGTCTGGACAATGGTTATTATAATTGTAAAGCTAGTAATCAAGTGGCGGAACTCAAGGGTATTTGCAATATTTGTAATATTGCCGATGACGAGGGTCTGGACACTTGTCATGCTAGCTTTATTAATGTTATCACAAGCAATTAAAGATTATAATTTAAACATTTATATTAAAGCGAAACATTCAATATACATGAATGACAATTGTATTATTTTTAATTATATCAAAATAGTTTGTAAACAAAATTTATGGAGATGTAGAGAATTTTTATGCTTTCAAGTTTTGGTTAATGTAATATTTTTATTATACATATTCTGGTGATAATTGTAAAAGTAAAGTAAATAAAATTACTTCTATCGATTGTACTTTTTTCTATTCAATTTTCTATCAATATTACCTGTTTTCAAGCATTGAATGTATCTAATAATAATTAATTATTTGTAATTACACATGATAAAGAGAATTACACCAATAAATTTTTGTGTATTAATAAAATATGATCATTTATTTTTATTTTATTTAATTTTTAAAAATGTGATGAAATTAAGTACAAGTTTTTATAACTAAAAATTTACTTGCTCGATTTTGACCAATTATAAATTAAATTGTTTTAAATAAAATTAAATTATTAAATAATTCTATTTTAAAATTACGGCTTGTCAATACAAATCAGCGCATACATCCTTGCCATGTGTATTAGCATGTTGACATATGGGGCAAATTGCCTCCAGTTCTGCCGCCACACCATTGGCTTTACAATTGTAATACCCTCTCGGGTAACAATCTTTACCGGTCAACACGTAATAAGTGTCGTACCGATTATTGGCCCGCGAGCCACAATGCTTGCCCAATATTATACCACATGTGCAACCTTGTTACAAACAGTAATTTAGCATGTTTGTGGAGTTTATTATTAAACAATTTTCAAAAACTACATGGCTTAATTAAATATTAGTTAACTTATACTTACCACTCTTTTGTGTAGCCTCATCATCACAGCCTAAAATTAGACCGCAAAACCCTAACAAAACAATAATGGTTATTTTTACATTCATTTTTTTAGAAACCTTAATAAATTGTTCAAATACTAAATATGTATACTTATTGAACTGAAGTATTGTCGGTTTAAATACAAAATATAAGCATACTTGTAGCAAACTATAGAACTAGATAATTATTGGATAAAATTTATGATGCTGTTTATCATCATCTTTATCAAATTGCCTGTCCAGCAATTATTCATAAACGGCGCTTTTGTAATGAAACCGTAAATATGCATTTTAAGGGTTATAAGTTATAACATAAAATAATTTACGTGTATATTATGCCAAAAAATATATAAATCACAAATCAATTTCACAAGTTAGATTTATTAATAAGAATTATAAAATGATTTAATTTACTTATCCATACTAAATTAAGTATGTTTACGCGTTTGTAGTCTAATCTACTATTGTCATAATTTATGCTAGTAAAACATCAAATATTAAGAATATTAATTCTAATTTATTATATATATTTTATATTAATTTCATATTTTATCATTTATTATAAAGTACAGTATAAAGTTATAAAAGTTATTAAAAATTAATATCAATATTGAGCAATAATTTTTATTTTTTTTATTTAAAAATATAAATAATTTAAATTCAGTGTAACTCTAATGCTTTATTGTATTATTTTATATTTAAATTACAACATACAAAAATATTTTCCAACAAACACTAATTGCATAATCTATAAAACGTTATACATGACAAGTTAAAGTTTACAATATTAACATTCATAAACTTTTAACAAATGAGTGCAGTTTTAATTATATAATTATAATAAAATGTTTATAAGGTAATTATTTATAAAAATAATAATTGCAAATTTAGATTGATAAAGTTAAATGTTACAAATTAATAATTTAAATAAACAGAATAAGAAATAATAACATTTATTACATATGTATTTGCTTAATTAAACGTGAATTATATAACGGATAAAATGAATGAGCTCGCGAATTAACCGATGATGCTATCAAAAGGATTAAAATGAAGCCGGTAAAATAAATAAAAACTGCCAACATAATTATCAATTTAATAAACAAGGTGACATTAATATAGATAGCAACATATGCCGATACAATAGAGATTAAACTGAATATAAACCAAACGTAACTTAAATACTTTGACCAATAAGTGGTGTTGTAATCATTGATCTCAATATACAACGTGTTTAATAAATAAGTAATATTCAAAATATTACAGAATTTCCATTTCATTTTAATTCGTATTGATTTGAATTTA